GGGAGTGTGGGATCTAAAGAGACCTGTATGGGGACAGCTGTGTCTTTGGCATGGCCCCTTTAGTTTCGCTGCAGGAGCTTTAGCAGTTCCAGCACATTTCCCAAAGGTGAAAAAAGGATATTCTGACTTCTGTCATCGGTATTTAAAAATATTACACATTTTTCTTTGGAAGGATTGGTTTAGCCCTTAGAGGCAAGGTGGGTTTTTAGGGACAAATGAGTGCTTTGGCTCATTCCCTTGTGTTAAACACAGAGGGTGCAGGTGTTGTATTCACCTTTGTGTAACCATGAGAGGTTTTATACGGTGTGTTCTCACTCAGATGAATTCCTGTGTGCCACTCCAGGCCACACACCTGGCTAGGCAGAGAGGAGAGCAGCTGCTGTGAGCTCTCCCTGTACTTTCTATTGCTCAAAATCCCTCAATTTGCCACTTCTGCCAGTGCAGTGCTCATCCTTCTCTCTGCATGAGCTCAGGGATTTCTCACAATCCTGTTTCTTCCCAAAGATACGGGGTGTTCAGAGCAGATCTGAGCTTCTGGCAGTCAGGGGAGAGTAATTAAAGTTACATGAGAAGTACTTGGATTTTCATGTTCTTCTCAGCCAAGCAGGACACACAGGATTCTTCCCTTCCCATTCCCATTCCCATTCCCATTCCCATTCCCATTCCCATTCCCATTCCCATTCCTTCTCTTTGCCTCCTTTGGATTTCCTTCCAGACTCTGTAGATTAAAGCATCATTGAGAGCTGATTTTATTCCCAGGGCAGGACATGGAAGCACCATCCCTGTGAGATCCCACATGATTTGATGATCTGAGCTCCACCAGCTCTTCTTGGGGGGTGCCTGGCTGCTGTGGCCACTAGAAATCTCCCACCCTCCAAAGAATGTTTTTTTGGAAGCTGCTTCAGCCCTGATCTCTGCCAGAATATGGGGGAAAACTGCTGGCAGGCTCAGAGGTTGCAGGGGGTGTTGGCTGCCCAGCACAGCCCTGAATTCCTTCAGGGATCACGCCTAAAACAAGCACAGTGGATATTTTCTCCTCCTGAATCCATCTGCTTTGTGGTGGAGACATGGAGCATCTATAAAGATAAAGAGGAGAGGCCTAGAGCTTCCTTTTCCTTTTCCTCCAACCTACTAAACAGGGAATTCACAGCTGGGGAATTCTTCACCTCCGTGGGAAACTTCCACTGCAGGGCTGCCAAACCTTTGTGTGTGAATGGGAATTTGGAGCTGTCCCTGTTGGAGGCTCAGGGTCATTTGCTGAGTTCAGTGCATCAAAGCAAGGAAACTCCTTTTGTGCTGTGAGGAGCCCCCATGGCATCACAGTGTGGGGCTCTGAGGGCTTCTGGAGCAGGGGCATCGTTGGCAGCAAAATCACTGAGTCCTGGAAGGTGAAACACCCTGGAGTGTGCAGAGGTCTTGGACACAGGGGATGTGGGAGTGGAGATGCTGCAGGGAGTTCTTGTGTTGTACATGTGCCAAGTGACCTCCCCTCCTCGTCCCCATCTGCTCCATGTCCTTTTCCAGGAGGAATCCCTTGGTCTGGGCCGTGTCCCTGGCACAGGGGTGACCAGAGCCCCCTTGGCACATGTCACCCTGTGGCTGTGCTCAGCTCCAGGCAGCCTGGCTGCCTTCAAGCTGTTTAAACCTCTCACTTTCCACCAGGATTTAAGTCAGCTACTTAAACCACGTCATCCTCTTTCACTCTTTAATGCTCTGTGTTTCAGCTGCTCAAGCTCCAAGGAGGGTTTGTAACCAGCCACAGACACATACAGGAAGCAAAACCTTTATTTGAAGTATTTCTTGCTGGCCAAAAGCAGGACTGTGGCTTCAGTCTGTTGGGTTAGGCTTGGTGTTCGGTTTGGTGGAGTGTTCCTGTTTGGTGCTGTGCCAGTGGGAGTGTGGTGGGAGCTGCTGTGCTCAGGCTCCAGCTAAAACCCTCAAATCTGTGACTTCAGAACTGCTCACATTTACTGGATGGATCTAAAGCACTTTGAGCCACAATGCTGGTGGTTTTCCCAACTGCCCTGATAAGGTACAGGGTTTAGCCCAGACATCAAAATGAAGAATTGAGGAAAATGATCCCAGGCTGCTCCAAGCCCCATCCAGCCTGACCTTGGACACTTCCAGGGATCCAGGGGCAGCCACAGCTTCTCTGGGCACCCTGTGCCAGGGCCTGCCCACCCTCCCAGGGAACAATTCCTTCCCAATATCCCATCCATCCCTGCCCTCTGGCAGTGGAAGCCATTCCCTGTGTCCTGTCCCTCCATCCCTTGTCCCAAGTCCCTCTGCAGCTCTCCTGGAGCCCCTTTAGGCCCTGGAAGGGTCTCTGAGGTGTCCCTGGAGCCTTCTCCTCTCCAGGTGAGCACCCCCAGCTCTCCCAGCCTGGCTCCAGAGCAGAGGGGCTCCAGCTCCATTGCTGGAGTGGATGTTTGGTGAGAGGAGCCCCCCAGGGGCTGTGGGGATCAGGCAGGAGCAGCAAATACTTTTGTTCTCTGTACTTTGGGTTCTTCTGAGTGTCAGCAGCCACTCATACTCAGCCTGGTGTGGTGTCTCAACTGGTGATGGTGATTTTAAGCCTGAACAGCAAATACAGGCAGGTTTGGATCAGCACAGACACTGCCAAGGGCTTGAACTTCACTGTGTGGCTTCTGTTGTTTGCATTCATAATGTCTGGGTTGGGAGGTTTTCAGAACCATTTCCCCTCATTTCTCCCTGCCCACAGCCCAATTTAAATAGATAAAGGGCTCTTTTGCATCAAGCAGATACTTCCCTGGCTTCCCTGTCTGTCCTGCCCGAGCACTGGGGTGGGTGAGGTGCCCTGCTCTGCTGTGGGCACAAGGCTCTGAAACTCTCTGTGGTCCTGAGAAGCTGAAAACCACAGAAACTGTAATTTAGAGTGTGTCATTCTTATCCCTTATAGGCTTATCAAGTCTGATTAAATGTCACTTGCCTTTCTGTTATCTCTGTACACAGATAACAAATTAAGCGACAGCTTTTGAACTCCAGGCAGCTGCCAGATGCATTAACTGGAACCGACACATTCCTACGAGTTGTTTTTATTAGTCTAAAATACCTTTGTTTAACGTACAAGAAATCTGACTCACCCAAGATGATGAGTGCCATGTGAGTTTAGGAGGTCTGTCTGCCAAAAAATGTGCTTTAGAAAACTGGAGAAGGTGCTTGTGTTGTCTTTTCCCATTCACAGAATCTCAGGTTAGCTTGGAAAAGAGCTCTGAGATGGAGTCCAGCCTGAGACCCATCCCAGCCCAGAGCTCTGAGTGCCACTTCCAGGCTTTCCTTGGACACCTGCAGGAATGGGGACTCCAAACCTCTCTGGGCAGCCCCTTCCAATGCCTGACCACCCTTTCTGGGAAGGAATTCCTCCTGATGTTCAGCTTGAGCTGGAGTCAGCTGGCAGGTGGGCAAGGCTGTGCCCTGGGGGATTTGGGTTTCCTCCAGAGGCTCAGCCTGGAATTCAGTGACAGGACCTGAGAGAATGGCTGGAGCTGGGTCAGGGCAGGGGCAGCTGCAGATAAGGGAAAGGTTTCTCCCCCAGAAGTGCTGGCACTGCCCAGGCTCCCCAGGGAATGGGCACAGAGGCTGCCAGAGCTCCAGGAGTGTTTGGACAGCGCTGCCAGGGATGCTCAGGGTGGGATTGTTGGGGTGTCTGTGCCAGGATTTGGACTGGATGATCCCTGTGGGTCCCTTCCCACTCAAGATATTCTGGGATTCCACGATTTTATGGCCTCAGCCTTGTGGGTTCCCCCATGCCAATGGAATTCTTGCTGCTCCTGTTGAAATGTGGGATGACCAAAGCACATGGACACATGGGTGAACAGCTCTAAGTTTGCTGTAGATGTGATTTTCCTATAAAAACACATACCGGGCTTTCAGAAAACCAAAAAGAGCTCAAACCAGCCCCCCAGTGCTGCTGCAGGGTGAGCAGGGCAGCTCTGAGCTCCACGGCTGCGCTGGGGGCTGAGGCTCCTTTGAGACATGAGGTTTCCTTCCATGAAAGGAGAGGTTTGGTGATTTATCAGCTCCCACCCCAAGAGCAAACTGAAACCCCAGTGAGACAAAAGGTTGTGCTCATGAGAGCTGCACAAATCCAGCCCTGGAGACTCCCTCCTGTGCATCAGGAAGAGGAAGAGGAAGATGTGTGTGGCAGGGTGAGGGCAGATTGGGATTACGGAGCTCCCTGTGCAATTCCTCTCTCACCTCACCAGCTTCCTCCTGGGATTGTTCCTCAGCTGAGGGATGTGGTGCAAAAATAGACAAAAGTGCCTCAAAAGCTCTTAAAACAAGGGATAAGTGTCTGGTTGTCTGAGCTTGAGAAGCATCTGGTGTAGAGGATTTTCTGCTCAGGGCAAACTGGAAGGAAGGAACCAAATGCACCTTTTTGAGACACTTTGGGCCCTGTGGTTTTGCCCTTTGCCTGTTCTCTCTGAGGTTCCCAGAGCATCCTCAGCAGGTCTTGGAGTGCCCCTTGCTCCACATGTGTGCTCCAGCACCCCCATCCCAGCCCTCTCCAGCTGATGTGATCCCCTCCCCCTCAGGCATTGTCTAATTGGGAGAATGTTTCAATTATACGGCCTAAATTTGTAACATGGAGCAGTTCATTATCACCAAATCCCTTAATTGGGCCCTCCTACCAGGCAGCCTATTACTGAGTTTCCCAATTAAGACAGGACCTCTTTAAAACCCATAAAAATAAACAAATCCCTGGCAAAGGCAGGCCCATGTTACAGGAGACACTGCCCAAAATGCTGCTTCAAGGCTAAGCAATAGTTTCAACACCATCCAAGTCCTAATTAACCCCCTTGTACTGATTACTGATTAAGGAGGACAGCCACAGTTTGGGGTCAGCTCAAAAAAATCACCATTATTTGCTCAAGTCTTTCTGACAAAGAGGAAGAAGCTGGTTACAATGTGTTTATGTGTTGGAAGATGCTGTTTCCTGCACAAAAACATAGGTAACACCACCTTTTTTTTGGTTGCAGGTAAAGGACCTAACAAAATACCTGGATCCCAGTGGATTGGGAGTTATCAGCTTTGAAGATTTCCATCGAGGGATCAGAGCCATCAGAAATGGAGGTGAGTTTCCTGCTGTGCTCTGAGTGAGGATGGGAACAGGCCAAATTTAACACCACGCCTGAGCTGAGAAGCTGCTTGGGGAAAAACCATCTGGGTTTGGTTTTCTGAGAGTTACGGCTCTGTGCTGGGTGGAGGGCAAGGGAGAGAGGTTGGGGACATTTAATAAGAGTTGAAAAAGGTGGTACAGCAGTCGTGGTGGTGGTTCCATGTTTTGTTGTTCCTACAAAGGAACATCAGTGGGAAATCCCTTCTGGTTTGGTGTCTCTCACCTGTGTTTTTGGGGGGTTGTTGCCGTGCTGCTGGCTGTAACATCTTCCAAACACTGGAAGCACGGAACATGGAATGGTTTGGGTTGGAGGGGGCCTTAACACTCTTCTCATACCACCCCCTGCCATGGGAAGGGACACCTTCCACTGGAATAGAAATTACCATAAATTCATTTCTTGATGAATTTACCAATGCATTTATAAACTTCACTCCAGCTGTTTGGAGGATCAATGTGCTCAGATGGTTTTTAGCAAGCAGCACCTTAAACCTTAAAATTTAAACAAAGTCTTAAACCAGAACTCTGAACTCCCTGGCTGGAGTCAGGATGATCTTCAAGCAGGCCAGTGCCAATCCCCACGTGGCTCCTGAGGGCTTCTTGCAAGTGCTTGCAGAGCAGTAGCTGGTGAAATGTGAAGTTGCCATTGGAGCCCCTTTGCTGCAGGAAAGGTGTTGTTTCTTTAGTCTGGGATTTGTCTCAGAGCATCATTTTGGGCCAGGCATGTTGTTATGGGCAGGGTGTGAGAAATTTGGGAAGCTCCCTGCTGAGCAGCTGGAGTTCTGAATGTGCAAATGGGAATTACCATCCTTGCACAATAGTCAGCTCTGCTCAGAGATGCTTATCTGGGATTTCAGCCCTGCTCAATGTGCCCCTGCTGCCAGCCCTGCACTTGGAGTGTGCTGCAGGGATGGGAAGGAACCATCCTTCCCACACAGACTGCTGTTCCAGGGGTAAAACCCCCTCCAAACAAGGATTTCTCCCGTTCTTCTGTCACTTGTCCATCCCTCCTCCTTCTCCCCAGTTCCACTTTATTTATTCATTTACTGCAGTGGAGGTGAGGCCCTGGCACAGGGTGCCCAGAGAAGCTGTGGCTGCCCCTGGATCCCTGGAAGTGTCCAAGGCCAGGCTGGACAGGGCTTGGAGCAGCCTGGGATAGGGGAAGGTGTTGGGGTTGGAATGGGATGAACTTTGAGTTCCCTTCCAATCCAAAACCACTTCAGGATTATTTGAGCTCAGGACTGCAGAGTTTTATGGCAGCTCCCAAGTTTCCTGGTGTAACCTGACCAATTCCCAGCTGTCAGGAAGCAGGAGGAACTGCAGCACACTATTAATTTGTAATAAATTGCCATTGGAGTAGAGTGTTTGTGAAAGCCCAGGCTCGTGTTTCTCCTCAATAATTCATCACTTTGGTGTTGTGTTCTATTAATTGAATGGGAAAAGCAGATCCAGGCAAAGCTTTTAGGGTCTCTATTTATTAAATTTGAAAGAGATTGATATGTGTTTATTACAGTGGTTAGGAAGGGCTGAGCTCTCAACACGTGGCATTAAATGGTTATAAAAGAAGGCCAGGGCAGGGAGCAGAGGAGGTTCTTTGTGTCTCACAGCTGAGCATCGCTCACACTGAAGCAATCTGAAGGATTTGCTGCTGCTCTTGAGACAGTCAATATTGATCATCCCTTTGTAACCAAAGCAGAGGCCATGCTGCTGCTGGGTGTCCCTTTTAACAAGGTTTGTTAATTGGCTGGGCCTATTTTTAGCCAAGGAATGCTGTGCTGGATTTCTTGGTGCTCTGTAATTCTTGGGTCAGTCATAGAAGCGAGAACTGGTGTCAGCTTGGACCTTTTGGTGTCTGTGTTAATGCAGGGTTTATTTCTGAGGATGTTCCACTCTTCTCTCCCTCTCCCCTCTCTGGAGAATTCCCTTAGGGGAGCAGCTGGGATTTGCCTCCACCCTGGCAAGCTGAGGGTGCAGTTCAAGCCCAGCCAAATTTCCTCTGTCAGCTGCATTTCTCACAAGTGCTTTCGTGTCCACTTGGCCTTTACATGCAGGATGTGAGCTCCCAGTCCTGTCCCACTGCCTGAGGAACAGGCTGATCCAGGGCTCCTGGTGCCTGCTCTGCCTCCAGCGTGGAGCAAGAACCACTGAAGCCCTCACACAGAGCCCACAGCCACCTCTCCACTGCCATGGGCCAGCTCTGCTCTCTGTCTGGCCAGGTAATGCTGACTGGGAGGGGGCAGAGCAAAGGCATTTGGATTTGAGGCTTTAAGGAGGGGTTTTAGGCACTCCTGGCTGCCTTCTGCCCTCCCCAAAGTGAAGGCTGGATGGGAAAGCGTGGTCCTCATGGATGTATTTATTCCTGCAGTGTGCACAGAGTGCTTCCAGAGGGTTTCCCTGCTGTGGGAGGTGCTGAGCTCTGTTCTCAGGCCTGGGGGGACAGAATTGCTGCTGGAACAGGTTCAGCTCCCCGTGGCCTGCTGTGTTCCAGCCCTTCCTGCTCGTGGCTGCTGGCATCCCCTTGTCCTTCCCTACTCCACAAGGAGTGGCTTACCTGCTTTTAAAAATCTGTGTGGATGGTGCCTGAGTGACTGGCCAGTCTGCACAGCAGAGGGGAAACGTGAGTCCAGCACTGGCAGCGTTTCAGGGGGGATAAATAACTCTGAAAAGTGGAATTTTACAGCCTTGGATTGTAAAACTCGAGAAACTGATAATGGAGGGAAGGCAGTAATGGAGGAGAGTGCAATGCTTTAAAAAGGTGGTTTTTGGGGCCTGGAGAATTCTCAGCCAGAGAAAGACCTGGTGCATCTGGCTGCCATCAGTGAGATCCAAGGGAAAGGAAACAGGGAGGGAGCCAGTGTGACTGCTGCAGTCATCATAGTGAGGATCTCAAGGAGAAACAGGAACCAGGGATTGCATCCCAGCCCCTTGGAAAACTCAGCCTGGGAGTAAGGAGTCAGTCTGTGTGGCATGGAGCTGCCCTGGGATGGGGTCTGGAATCACAAGCTGAGGTGCCTGCACCAAGGAGCAGCTCTGTCCTGGATGCAGGAACTGCTGGAGAGGGAGTCTGGTGGCAAACATGAAGGATGGGCTGGATGCAGACACACAGCCAGGCCTGTGCTCACGAGCAGATTCCTTCCCTTCAAAAACCTTTTAAGCTTCAGACACCTGGTTTTTCTGCAGGGGTCACTCAGCAGGGCAAACTGAAATCTCACTGCTCACATTGCAACTCACAAGGGTAAGGACCAAGTTGTGTCATTCACACTCATCCTCGGAGCTAAAACATCTGTAACATCTGTATTCCAGGGAGCAGCCCGCTGGGAAGGGGCTCTGGGAGGTGCCCCTGCACACAGGGGGATTGCTGGAGGTGTCAGCCAGTTTAAGGGACCTCGGTGCCAGGCAGGGAAAGGTGAATTCCTGGAGCTCCCAGCCTCATCCAGCCCTTCTGCCTTGGCTTCTGATCCCTGAACAAAAGGGTCCTGTGCACTGAGAGCACACAGTGCATCCACTGAGGGATGGATGTGTCCAGGAGCTCAGGGGAGGGCCTGAGGATGGAAATAGTCACATCTCTTTTTTTTTTATTATTGTTTCTTTTTTAAATGCTTCAACTAAAAGCCCTTTGGATTTGGGGAGATGGAAGATCCATCTTGAGAGCCAACAGCCAAACCTGGAAGCTCTAAGAGAATTCCTGTTTGCAAGGAGGAAGATCTGGGAGACCCCTGGCAGTGCCAGCTTTGGAGGAGCCGGATCAGGAATCCACTGTGCCAAAGGAAAGATACTCCAGGGGCTGAATAAGAGACCTGGAGCAGGAGGAGCATCTTCAGCTCCCCAGAGGCACTTCCAAAGGCTGGCTGGAGGGAAAAGTGTGGAGCTGGGAAGCTGGAGCAGGCAGGGCAGGATGCTGAATAGCAAATACAGGGCTGGGGGGTCAGGCTGTGGCTCTGCCTGTGTGGGAGCACCACGCTGTTCCTAATTGGAGCTGGCAGCAGTGGGAATTGCTGTCAGGATGAGCCCCTGTGGGGCTGCAGCTCTCCCATCCCTGGAACATCCCTGGGAGGATCTCGGGGGGCGTGTCCACGGTTTCTGCAGCCGTGTCCAGAAAGGTTGGTGAGCTCCTGGCAGCTGAGTGTCAGCTGGGAGTTTCCTGAGAGGAAAGCCCACATCCAGCTCTTCTCCATAGGAAGGATGTGAGTGTTGTACCTTAAGGGCTTAGAGCCAGGAGGGAACTGCACACCATCTCCCAAAAGCAGATCCGAGGAGTTGCCCCACGGGCAGGCTGTGTTCCACATTCCCTGCTCCCACTGCTCCGGCTCTGGGCGCTGCCTCTGGATGTGGCAGTGCTCAGATGCCACCTCAGAGCCCACCGTGCCCAGCAGCCACTGAGTGCCACTCTGAGCCACCCCTGGCAGCACTGGTGGCTGGGCCCAGCGAGCCAGGCTGGCTCTGGTGCCCCGGATCCCTCTGGCTCCGCGGGGCATTCCGAGGTGTTGGATACCCGGTAACGTAACCCCCTTTGGCTTTGTGTGGATCCTCTCTAGGATCTGCATTGCAGATGGCTTTTACTACACAAATGGAAAGCTTCCCTTGCCCAGGGATAATTCCAGAAGCCAAAGCTCGCATTCCCATCCCGTAGTTTCTCCAGGGCTGTGTGTGCATCCTCGGCACTCTCTGCCCCAGCTGGGTGCTGGAAACGCAGTGGATTTGCAACAGGCCGCTGCTGACACCTGAGCTCTCAGCGGGGGTGGCCAGGCCCAATTGAATATTCCAGGCGTTTGCTTTTTAAAAGGAAAGCCTTGCCCAAGGCTCAGCAGATGGAAGCAGAGCTCCTGTGCACGTTTGACTAAACTCGGTGAGTATCTGGCACCGCTTTGAGCACTTCCTACGTTCCCCTGGGATCTGCTGATCCCTGGATTCGTGCAGCACTGCTGCAGTGGAGACCTTCCCGCTGCTCCTGCCTGTT